CGCCAGCCTGGCCTTGCCTCTCTGGAGGTCCCGACTGCCCAGCACAGGTGTGATTCCAGCCAGAGCTGGTGTCCACAGAGCGGGGTGATGACTCCATGGGGCGAGTGCGGCAGCCCACGAGTGGACGTTGCCACGGGCACTTTCTTGCCGAGTCCAGATGTTGTCCTACTCAGGGCTCCAGACAGCCCCTTGGGAAAAGCAGAGACCTGTTTGCTGTTCCTATGGTACGTGGATTCCGGCACATGGTGGGGTGCACCTGGGGGGTTCGATCTGTGTAGGCTTCCCAGAGCCTTGTGCTGTCACTCTTCTCTCCCACAGCTCTCCCAGAGACAGCCTCCGGTTGAGCGCAGGGACGCCATGTGGCCGTCCCAAGGCACTGGTCTGCGGCTGGAGGAGCTGCTGTTTTCAAGCAGGCCTGGGTGTTTCCTGGAAAACCGGTGTCTCCCTGTGCACAGGGCCAGCCCCACCACCTCCCTTCTTGGCTCCAAGAGCATTGTGTGAGCTGACTCCCAGTGGGCATGCCAAGTGATAAATGAGTTTTCTCCACCAAGTTAGATAAGGCTTGGCGTGGCTTAGGTCCCCAGTGGACGTTTATTGGAGCAGTGGTCTGGCTGTTTGGACCTATCTGTGTCAGCGAGCCGGGGCCAGACGTCTGCGCCTGCCTGGCACCAGGCTCTGCTGTTCTGGGTGCTTTGGCTTCCCCAGCTTGAAAGTGTCGAGAATGTGCTGTGCCTGGTGGATACGAGGCAGGCTTCCCCTCTCCCCACATCCCCACACTCTCCTTTTCAAGAGAGAGGAGCCCTCTGAGTCTCTCATTGTGCACAGTGCTCTCTCAGCTATTTTGAACAACAAAGGACAGCTCTCGACCACTTAGCCTGAAACAGCTTCAGTCATTCCTGAATTTACAATGCTAGAATTTTCTTGACAGAATTCACTACAGATAAAAGGAGGTAAAAGCAGATTTAGCCACTGTTTCTGGGATTTTGATCTCGTAATTATTAAGTGTGGACTATTGATATAAGTGAGCCTTTTAAAGTGGCTACAAATGTATGGTTATAGGCTGATGAGAAAACCAACTGCCTTAATGATATGAATGTGGGTTCTTGTGGGTTAGGATAGATACCATTTCCAGTGACAACCTCCTACACAAATTCATGAGGAGCTGTGTCTAGAACATCTCAAATGGATGAGAAGGGTGATACGTTCTGGAAAACTGCTCTGAATGACTCCACTTGACTCTGGGGTTGATCAGGACATTAATGTTTAGGATGCCCATGAAGGGTCTGAAAAAGAAGTCATTCTGTAAGTGGGTGGGGGGACATAATAATGAATGGAATTTTTAATTTAAAATATATGAAGATAATTAATAAAAGTTACAAATAATGGTTTGGCTTTTTAAGCTACATCCCTAAAAATATATATATAGTCAAACTGGTATAAACCATTGTTTTGATTGCCTCAGCAGTCAGTTGCCCTCAATGTGGGAGTCACCATGAAGGCCTGGGTTTCCAGGGTACGTGGTACTCCTTCCTGTAGCCCCTGAGGTGGGAGATTTGCAAAGGGAGAGGAACAGAGGGAGGGGTGGCATGTTCCCTGCCCCCGCCCTGTCTTTTTCTCTCTTTTCATCACTCTTGCTTGGCTTCCTCTGCCAAGCACTAACCCCTGGGCTGGACTGGGGGCTTCAGTGAGCGCCAGTCTCCAACCCTGCCCTCAGGAGACTGCAGTTTGCACACCTGTTGTAGACGCTGGCAGGCTGGGGTGTTTTGATTCACCCTTGCAGTGTCTGTGGTTTGCTCCTTGCTGCAGAAAGTGTATTCCATGGAACATATTAATTTATCTCTAAGTAGATTTATTACATGAAATATTCATCAGAGTAGGCGCCATGGTACAGGGTTTGGAACAACATACCTAGTACAGTTTGTCCTCATAAATCTATTAATGCTGATGGATGTAATTGTCTCCTGTGAAGCTTCGGGGTGAGACGAGGGCCCGGGGCGGGGAAGAAGCTGGCCGCTGCTCTGCAGCTTGGCTGCGGCAGGCCCTGCTCGGAGTGTGTGTGTGTGGTTATATGTATCCATTTTTTCTCTTTCTTTTTAATGAATGCAGAGGCTTCCATTTCTGAGAGCCCTCTTGTCAGCTTCCAGCTTCTTGTCAAATTCTAGCTTCCAGCCGCATTTGGAGATGTAATGAGGCTCAGAGGGAAAAGCTAGCTCATGAGTGATCTGTGATCAGTGAGCAGAGGGCATTCAGGGGACCGAGGAGGGAGTGCGGGGCAGGATGCTAACACTTAGGAATAACCCCCGAGCTAGGTATTTTATCTGCTTAGCCCAGGTGCTCCTAACAGCCACCTGGGAGGTAGGTGTCGTCATTCCTGTGTTATCCACATAGAAGTTGAGGCTCAGAGAAGTCTAGTAACTTGTGCGAAATGCAGTTCATTTAGTTCAACGACGCCATCCTGATGGCCTGGGGCTGGGCACAGGGCACAGAGCAGTCACAGCCTCTGCCCTCCTGGAGGGCCCCATCTAGCAGATGCCGTAACAGGACCTGCAGAGGAATCAGGTGGGGAAGTGGAGCCTCCCTCCTTGTGACACAGGGTGCACAGGACGGCGTGATAAATTGTAGGAGACTGTAGGAAGGTTGGAGTGGGTGTCTGAGCAAAGTTGGAAGCCTGGATGGGTGTTTACCAGGTAGACGGGGCCTGGAAGAGGGGGTTTCAGATGGTGTGAAGAGCAGGTACAAATACCTAAGGACGCAGGGCTCCAAGGCGTGGCAGGCAGGGTGGGGACTGCCTGGTTCAGCTCTGCTCAATCCCCAGGGGAGGGGAGGGCAGAGGGGTAGCCAGAGCCACAAGTGCAGGGCCTTGCAGGGCATTTAGACTGTAACCCAGGGCACTGAGGAGCCACTGGATGTTTTGAAGCCAAGGAGAGAGAGAAGTGAATTTGTGTATTTGGAAAATTACTCCAGGGGCACAACTGAGGCTGGCTTGGAGAGAGGCAAGGCAGGAGGTGGGGAAGCCTGTGGGGTTTGTGATGCCTGTACGGCCAGGATGTCAGTGAGCAAAGCATGTGGGGTGCAGGAGGTGAAAGGTGTAATTTCGTATCTGTGCTGGGAAACAGCAGAACTGGTCTGGATGCCCCACCCCAGGTTGAGAGGTCACAAAAAAGGAAAAGTCAAAGAGAAAAAGCAGTCAGAAAAAGGAAAAAGGAAAATAGGGCATTAGAAGAGAAATGTTAAATTGTAAAAAGACTTTTATGAAGAGATAAAAAACATTTAAAGAGTTACAGTTAAGGAATGATGAGGACTAACACAATATACAATTCTTTTTTTAAGTTTAATAGTGTTTTAGAAATTTAAGTGGATCTGAGAATAAAAGCAAACACTTAAGTGGGTTAAGACAAAAACGGGTTTCTGGCCAAAAGCAGAATCTAAGGTAGGGAAGAGCAGACAGGGTGGCTGGCTGCTGCAGGGCCAAGAGGTGATGATTCCTGCCATCTGAGGACCCCCAGCTCTGGAAGTGCATGCTGGTTGGTGACACTGTGGGGCGGGGCCCCAGAGAGACCTGGGCAGAATCGAGGGAAAGGTGGGGGGAAGTGACAAAACAGAGCCTCCCTGCTTTGAGACTTCTGCAGGTGGGGCCGCTGACAGTGTAGGGGCTTCGCGTGGCCCCCTTGCACTGCGGGCACCCTGTCCAGGAGGTTCTCGGCCCTGGAGTTGGGGTGGTGGTGGCTGATCTCACGTGGCCGCCTCGCAGGCTCGTCCTGTCCTGGTAGCCACCAGGGAAGGGGAGGTGGAAGGTCATCAGCAGGTCTCTTGTGAGGGTCGGAGGAAGGACATCAGGGCTTCTGGCTTGAGTGCAATTATTGAGCGCCTCTTGTGTGCAGTGGAGTATGCTAGATGTTGTGGGGCACATAACAGGGAAAACTTACAAGCTGTATGTGAGCAGCTTTTGGTATCTTGTACGAGGCTGGGGCTCCTTGTGGGATGGGCTTATAACCCGGAGGAATGTCAAGCAAGGAACTCATTAGGGGCTCTTGTCTCCTCTAATTGCTGGTCGTGCTGCTGTTCCTCTCCACTGGTGGCTGTGAAGGAAAGAGGAAGCATGCACAGTGGAAGGAGCATGGGAAAACTTGGAGTCAGAGACCAGGGTTCAAGTTCTGGGTCTGCCACGTATTAGCTGTGTGACCTTGGGCACTGTAACCTCTGAGCACCCGCTTTCTCATTTGTAATTTGGAGCCATAATCATGATGTCTGTCTGCTGAAGCCCAGGTTGTCATGGGGATCTGTGTGTATGTGAGAGTGTTCCATAAACTGCAGAGCTCTGTTCAGCAGCTGGTGACATCTCTAGACTCTGAGTGTTTTAAGGAAAGTGGTGCCTCGTTATTCCTTATACCTCTCCCAGCACCTTCACAGTGTCTGAGACACTCAAGAGATGCTAGTTGAGTCAATGGACGAGTCTACTGCAGCACCAGGCATTTTCCGCGTCCCCTTTTCTAGTGGCCAGACCCTGTCACTGTCACACTGTTAGAGGAGGGAGGTGCAGCCTGTGGAACATGTGTAGTAGCCTCTGGGCGATGCTGGGACCAGGGCTGCCAGCCTCCCAGACTTGCTGAGCATCCTGACTTCAGGACCAGACCCTTTAACCTGGTTTCCAGTCATTGGGCTCAGAGCCAACTTCAGGGTGGCCTGGTTTGAAGTTCAGAAGCAGAAGGAAGACTAGGGACTGCTCCCATTCCCTGTCCTGGCTCCCCTGCCCCTTCCACTACACCCCACATGCCTGCCTGCACCCCCTCACTTGCGGCATCCCTGTCCCCATGGCCAGCCTCCACTGACTCCCCACTGCTTCCCCATTTCCTTAGCTCTTAGGGATTCCAAGTCCCATGCTCGTGGGGCCCCCGGCTCATGTGGCCTGGAGAGGCAGTGTCTGTCCCTTCTGCGGCACGCGTGTGCTGGGTGCCCAGTGGGGTGTGCTCACTCCTGCCACTTCCCACGCCCTCCTGCAGGTCGTTTTCCATGACGTCGGCGTGCTGACGGACAGGCTCTTCCCCGTCGTGGAGGCCATGCAGAAGCACTTCAGTGCCGGCTCTGGGACCTACTACAGCGACTCCATCTTCTTTCTCTCGGTCGCCATGCATCAGATCATGCCCAAAGGTAACCTGGTCCGTGCGCCAATAGCCCCCTGGTTGTGACTTTGCGTCCATTTTCCTGGCTCCAGTATTGCTGGTGCCCCGTGTCGGAGAGAAGAGCTGCACTTCAACACGAGGGGATGGGAGAGGGCGAGGGCGAGCAGGCCAGCCGAGGCCCCTGTGTGCAGAGCTTCCTGCACAGAGACTCCAGGACATGGCCCTGGGACCCATTCACGAGGACATGGTGTGAGTTATGTGCTGTGGCGTCCCTGGATCAGAGCATCTGGGCTCCAGCCCTGACTCTGCTCCTTGCACACATCCTTCTCTGGGACTCATTTGTAAAATGGCAGGTTGAACTAGGTGACCCTCCATCCCAAACTGTGATCCTGCTCTTTCCGGTTTGAACCTCTACTTATCTGACTTTGAAATATCAAATCTAGATGTGAGAGATGCAAATTATGACTGAATAAGACTTTTCTTTTGAGACTCTGATGTGCAATTAAAGTATTTTCTGGTCCCTCCCAGGCAGAAGAGCTGTGATTGTCTGGTCTGTGATAGGCTGGCCTTGTGTGGAAGTGCCGGCAGGTCATCCTTGGACCAGAAGCCTTGGGGGAGGGGAGTTTCATTTGTGTGGTGTCCCATGCTTCTTCATTCTTCTCCTCCAAATGGTCCTTGATTGATTCTGGAGCCCTGAATATTGCCCAGGCCCCCTGGTTTCTGGCCAAGGTAAACCACGACCTGAACATTTTAGGGGTGAGGAGGGGAGTTCGGGGTCTTGGGGTAGCAGCTATCCAAACTGTAAGTAGTTGTGTTTCCAGCAATTCCCAGACCAGGCAGAACCCGCCCGCCTAGGGGATGGCCAGGCTGTTTGGTGGAAGGGCCTTGCAGGGCAAGGAGTGGAAGAGGAGTCAGAGCATCGCTGTTTGAAGGGACCTGGCGAGGCAGGAATTCAGGAGTTAGAGGTTGAAGCTGGGTTTCTACTGGCAGGTTGTCATTCCACAGGAGAATCTAGCCCATCCATTCTGGCTGGGACCTTGCCTCCACAGGGTGAGTTCCTGCACCACGGAGGCTTCTTAATGTTCTCGTAGCTGTGAGGCAAGGGCTCGGGGAGCTTCGGTGAGCAGGGGTCTGAAGGAGAGCAGGGCCGAGCTCACCCAAAAGGCACAGGGAGGAGAGCTGGCATTTGTGATTGTGCACAGAAACCAGGTGCAGCTCTGTCTGCTCCCCAATTTGCCCCACCAGTCCCGGGGGTTACACGTGAGAGCCAACTGAGGAGCTGAGTGAACAGCAGTTATTTCTGTCCCCTCTGGTGGACAAGTGTGGTCTCTCCAGGCAGGCTTGGGCAGGTGTGTGGGGACTCAGGCCGGAGGGGGCTGTGGTTCCTGCTGTCCTGGATTCTAGAGGAGGAGACAGACGTGAGTGCTAGTCCCAGCTCTGCCGCCTGCCTTGGGTGCCTTTGCTGCGGCCTCAATTTCCCCACCCAGGAACGAGGGGGCTGATCTCGTGAAGAGTCCAGGGTTACAGGAATCCCCCTGTGGGTTTCTCTAGTTCCGGGGAGCAGAGGGAAGAGGGGTTCTCCCCTTACCCTTCCTTTCCCATCCTCACCTCACTCCTAGCAATCCCTGATCACTCTGTAGATCAGGCTTTGGAGCAGGATTCTGCTTGGTCAAAAGGTTTCGTGGTTACACTGGCACTTTGAAATGTCTCGACTAGATGGGCCTTAAGGGCCAGACCAGTCCTGTTGTCCGCATGCACGATTGGCCTTGAATGAAGTTCTGTGACAGAAAAGGTGGCAAAGGATGGTAGGAGGTCTGGGAGGGGGCGGCCCTGGCTTTCCTTTCTCTCCTCTGTGCATCAGCTGGTAGGTCTCTGCCCATCGTATGCTAAACTCTAGGCCAGGTTATGCTTTGGGGCACCCAGAGGGACGGGATTGTCAGGGCAGAGAAGGGACTTGTGCTTCACAGCACTGGGGAGGACCAGGTAGTGAGCAGTCAGTGCAGATGACAGGAGTTAGGGACCCCAGGCCACCATCCCTCCATCTCCCTGACTGCCCTGCCCTGTAGCCTGGCCTTGCGCCCGGGCCTTGTCTGCGGAGAAGAAGCTTTGGCCTGAGCTTTGCCGTTCACGCAGGCGATCAGGTTGTGAGTGTCCCTCCAGGTGGCCCACGGACTCTGAGGGGCCTGCGTCAGGAGGTGGGGGAGGAGCTGTTTGGGATGGACTGACCCAGACATGGACTCTCTTGTTGGATTCTTTAGGCGAATGATGATATGCTGCTCGCGATTCATTTTTACATCTGCCTGAAGTCCGCTTCCTAAGAAGGGCGTTGTTAGGAGTTAGTAAGGTTTGGCAATCGTAAAATAGAAAGAGCGATGCTGCAGTTTCGTGGAGTCTGGGGGCTCCCGCCGTGCAGACCGGCTGCTGCGCAGCCCTGGGGCAGCACCGGAGGCTCCCGCTGGGCAGGTCCTTCGGAATTCCTGCAGCTTTTGGAAGGATGCTTTGTTTTCCAGCACCGCTAGTGCTGTCTTGCGTTTGTCATGGCTCTTTATTGCTGCCTTTTTTTGTGTTTGTTGTTTTAAATCATATAAATTGCTATTGTTTTGTGCTTTGTTGATGGTTTTGTTCTCGTGTAATTGCTACATTCATGCTATTTTGGTTTGTTTTGTTTGTTTCACAGTGTTCTTCTTTCTCCGGGAAAGTGAGAATGGGCGTGGGTGGATCATAAACCCTTGGTCTTGCCAGGAAGGCTGGCTTAGAAAAGCATGTGTTCCCCTGAATTCTGTCTCAGGAGGTCCTGTCTGGTGTTTGCCCCCCAAATCCAGGTTATTTCTCTCCGGCCCTCTCCCTTCTGAAGCCTAAGTGTCACCCTTCTGTACCCACACGACCTTTACAATATATTTACCTCTTTTGCTATTTTAAAAGTGACACCATTCATTAAAAAAAAACCCTGAAAACTATGTTAAAATAGAAATGAATGTATCCTTTTACTACTACATAGACATCATGACCAAATAATTCTCTGATTATCTTCTAATATTTCCCAGCACATAGCTTTTTAAAGATTTAGGCAAAGTCAGAGTTTTACTATATATTTAATGCATTTTGAGTCTTTTTTTATACAGCAGAAAATGAAATTGAACCTTCATCTAAGCTCAAAAATGAAAGAAATGGTACAAGTAAATCTGTATTGTGATTTCTTCGGGTAATGTCACTCATCACCATTTTCTGTGTAATCATAGTCCTTGAAAATTCTTTGAATGGTTCCATTGAGTAGATGAACCTTAGTTCACTTTGTCATTTCCATGTTTTCAGCACCTAGATGTTATTTTTCTCTATGATCATAAGTTACACTGTGGTGAATATCCTCATGCATCAAGAATATTTTCTCTAATTGGGATTATTTCCTTAGGCTAGCTCCCCACAGGTGGAATTAGTGGGCCAGAGGTGACCCTTACAAAGCCAACCTGTGTCAAGTGCCCCCACCCCGGCCCCAGTGTCTCAGCCTGCACGTGTGAGGTTCTGTACAGTTTTCTAAGCCCATGGATGACTGACCTCTCAGAGGGACCTCAGCTGCTGTCCCTAATTGACAGGAGAGGAAGCGAGGAGCTGAGAGCAGGCCACTTCTCTGAGTTCTAGTTCTGAACACCCCCAACCCCTTGGTTTCCGGGGCCTTGGTCCCCGCTCGTTCTGATGGTGAGGCCTGAGTGCCGGCCTCTCATACCCGCACGGCCCCTCGAGGCTTCCAAAGCCTGGCCTCCTCTCCTCTCCGGGCCCCTTGCTGCAGCCCTGTGGAAGGGGCCTGGCTGGCATGGGCGGGCAATGGGTAACCCTGTGTATTTTGCCCTGACTGTCCCCCTTGGAGCAGCACTGCTCAGACCAAGTCTGCAGAGAGGAATGAAGGGGCCTTGCTGGTGAAACACGCTGGCTCTGATTTTGTTTTTTCTTCTGTGGCTTGTTGGAGGGGTCACCTGGGGCTGGCTGGCTGGTCGTGCTGCTCACGGGTGCTTGCCTGCCCATGGGTCCCACGCAGACACACAGCCTCTCTTCACTCCTCACTCACACCCACAGGGCTTTTATCTCCTCTAGTCGTTGGTGTTGGGTTTTTTGCCATTGGGAGCATCTTATGCAATGGAAAAGAAAATATTTTGCCCAAGTGGAGCTGGAGGGAGCAGAGAGCAGCTTCCCTCACCTGTGTCACATGGCTCCACAGAGCTCGTGGCTCTGGCGTAGAGACACGGGCCATAAAAACAGCCCTTACAGAGGCTGAGCCATGGCGCCTGGTTCATGCTTGTGGTGGGGGTCCCCCTAGGCGGGGAAGGCATGTGCGAAGACAGTCAGCTGTGGGTAAGGCTGGCCAGAGGCCCCGGGAGACTTTCCTGGTATGCTGTCCTATCCTGTGTTCAACCCTTTGCCAACAGACATCTTTGCCAAGGGTCTGGGGTTTACATGACACGGTGCTGGGCACTCTGGGTGTCCTAGAGATGTTTGCTACTTCTTGGGCTCACGGTGGTAAGATGGGTGGCATGGTCCAGCAATTAGGCAGAACGTCACGAAGGCCACAAGGGAGATCCACACAGTGCTAGATGTTCAGAAGAGGATGAATCACAGGAAAGAGGAGGGCTTTATGAGGGAGGTGGTACTTGAGATGGGTTTTGAAGGATGGATAAAATCTCATTGTGCAGAAACAGGTGGTGAGCAGGTCAGGCAGTTAGGAAGAGTGTAGAGATTGGGAAACAGCACACCACCTTTTTTGACAAACATATTAGGGCACATGCTGGGAAGCACTGAAAGAGAAGATGGCTGGGGGAGATTGGCATGTGCTGTGGGAGCTCAGATGCCAGGTCAAAGAGCTGGCTCTGAATACCGGAGATAGAGCCTCTGTGAGCATTTTGGCAGGGAGGAACTGAGACTGGGAGTGGATTGCAGGGGGAGATGTTGGGGTCCAGCTGCATATCTTCACTGAGTGTCCATCAGCTGGGCAGGCTGTGGGAGACTCACAGGTGGACTCCCCGGCCTCAAGCAGGAGCT